TGGTAGGTGCTGCCACCCGCTGTAGGTTGGCAAGATGGCTGTGGTGAGCAGTGTGGTGGACTCCCTGTGCTGACCAGTCTGCACTGGAAAGACAGCCAAGAGTGAGATTTTGCCTCCCTTTCCTATTCCCCTTTTTATGACAGGGAAAGAAAGTGAAACTACAAATACAGAGGAAAACAAACTATCTCTGGTATTCCACTCTGGCAGAAGTGTAGCATAACAGTTCCCTTGAACACTTATGTCTCCTAATACCCTCTTTCCTAATCTTTTTTTTTTTCTGGATATCTAGGTTCTAAAGCCCAACAGCTTTTACAAGGTCTCCAAGCCACTGATGAAAGTCAGCAACTACAGGCAGTGATTGAGATGTGCCAGCTGTTGGTCATGGGAAATGAAGAAACATTAGGAGGGTTTCCAGTCAAGAGTGTTGTACCAGCTTTGGTAAAGAAGATATCTCATGTTTCTATTGGAGGATGTAATATTTCACTCAATATCTCGTTTAAATAAAATATTCTTAATTGATATTATTTATTTTTAACTATATGTATGTATGTGTATCTATCTGTATATCTCACTGTTTGGTTTTGAGGGCATGTTTTGCTGCTGTTTGTTATTCCTGTTGAATCTTTAATAGCTCAAGAATTAGGTAGTGGCTCTCCTGAAACTTTTACCAAAATTCGAAGTCCTTAGTCAAAAGCCACAGTAGTGATTTTGTGCCCTTTATTTATGTTGACATCTAGATACTTTTTACTAAACTAACAATACCTTTTTTTATAAAAAACAGATAACATTGCTGCAGATGGAGCACAACTTTGACATTGTAAGTGTTTTGTAATGTTTAAGAAAATTTTTTAACTAGAAAAATGTATCATCTGAACTTAAAAAGAAATATCTGTATATTTAATAGATGAACCATGCATGTCGGGCCTTAACGTATATGATGGAAGCACTTCCCAGATCATCTGCTGTAGTTGTAGATGCAATTCCTGTCTTCTTGGAAAAGGTAAAACGAAATCATTAGTGTTGAACTAATCTGAGGGGGTTTTATCCTTTAACTTTAGGATATACTGTTAAGATAATGGTTTCTTTTCGTAGCTTACCAGATAATGAATAATGCATGAGAAGCTTTTAAAAACAGGTGGGCTTTTTGTTCACACCCCTACTGAAAGACATTCTCATTCACCGAGGAATTCTTCTTCAATTGGTGTTGTAAAGATACCGCATAATTATACAAACTAGCAACTCTTGGAGTAGCGATATAGCTGATCTAGCCTTAAATTGCCTAGTTTGATTACAGCTAGCAGGGCAGCTGCATTAGTGTATGTGTCTTGGTACAGGCTGACTGTCCAAATGTTAATGAAGATTATTATTTTCACAAACTGGTTTAGAAATTAATTTACAAGCCTTTTTTTATTTTGTAGCTGCAAGTTATTCAGTGCATTGATGTGGCAGAGCAGGCGCTTACAGCCCTGGAGATGTTATCACGCAGGCATAGTAAAGCCATTCTGCAGGCAGTAAGTAAAAAAGAAAGCACTTCTACCTCTGCTAGTTCTACATCGTGGTGATCTTCTGTGAAGATGAAATGTGAAAACAAGTTTCTGTGACTTCAGCAGTACTGAGTGGAAAATGTTGGTTTATTTTATTGTAGGGTGGGTTGGCAGACTGTTTGTTGTATCTGGAATTCTTCAGTATAAATGCACAGAGGAATGCACTAGCTATTGCTGCCAACTGCTGCCAGAGTATAACACCTGATGAGTTTCACTTTGTGGCGGACTCTTTGCCACTGCTTACACAAAGGTTAACCCATCAGGTAAGAAGCTATGATAAAATGGCAAGTTCTAATTTTGACCTTAAAGTAGTATAAAGTTGCCTCCAGATATCTAGTTCTTTTAGTGTGTATTATTTGCCTTTGCAATGTGATAATTGTCTTAAAGTTTCCATACTGTCAAGTTGGGATAGTCTAACGTGCATATAGACCTTTTTTTTTTTTTTTCTTCTCTAAATGTGCTGTAAGGATTCATGACAGCCCTATTAATTTTGTAAAATTAGGTAAATAAGGTACTTCAGTTTAGAACAAGAAGAATCATGGGTATGTAGTCCTTGCTTGTTGCCCATCAGCAAGAGGAAATCCGGTAGTATTACTATTCTTTTTTTGTAACAAATGAGTTGCAAGGTTCCCTCCCACTTCAAACTCAGTAAAGCCTCAGTTTCAATTTTTGTGGATTGTTTCTGATTTCACTCTTTGGGAGGGCTTACGGCTTTTTAAAAAGAAAGTTCTTGCTCTTGCACAATAGTTTGAAGTGATGAATCCTGAATCATGGGGCTCTTAAGATCTGCTTATCCTGCAATGCTTCTGTGCTCATAAATAAGCACTCACAATGACTGTTGCACCAAAAGAGATTTGGACATACTGCTTGGTTGGCAGATCCCTGTTAAAAAAGTGAAAAAGGAGAAATTGTTTTGTTCCTTAACAAATGCAATTAAATGGAAGCTTCCAGGTAATGTTTTTGTGTATTCTTGTGCTATTCTTAATTTTGCCAACATCATCTTGCTGAGAGACAACTTGAATCTTTGAGGCAGCTTCACAGAAGTCAAGTGTCAGCTTTAGATGGTGCTTTGGAAACAGGAAGCACCATTCTCAGCAGTAGTAGGGACAAGTACTGACTCCTGCTCTCTGAAGAGAAGCTACAGTCCACAAAAGTAAGATTTTGAGAAATTTTGAAGTGGAATTTTTCTGGGGGAAAAAAAAAATAAATCTTGAGTTAGCTTTTAACCAGATAGCTGAGATTGGAAGGGACATCTCATTTCTCTAGTCCTAATCCCCTGCTTAAGCAAGGTTAACAAGAGCAGATTGCCCAGGACCATGTCCAGCTGATTAATTGATTTATTTGAAACAAGCAAACAAAAAAACACCCCCAAAACAAAACTCCAAGGATGGAGACTTAGCTTCTCTGGGCAGCCTCTTCCAGTGTTCAGCCACCCTTACAGTAAAAGTGTTTTATTATGTTCAGATGAACTTTTTGAGTATTTCAACGAACTTTTAACTAGAACTATTTTTAGAGCAGTTTTTACTATCTTGGTGTCTTTGGATTTGCTGTCTTGGCTGCATTACATGATGTAAAAATCAGGCTTTGTGTAGTCTGTAGAACAGTAGTCTCACTCCTGCGTATTATCTATATCTCCTGTTGCTTTGGCTTTGTAGCTCTCTTCCCTTCTGTTTCCTCCTTGTAGAATCCAAAAAGGGTATTATTAGATCCATTTATTCATCTCCTAAAGGTCCCTAAACATATTTGTGTTGCAAGTGTCAGGTGTTTCCCAGGGAATATGACATATCAGGAGGTCAGTTTAGACTGTATCAAATTTAACTCGGAGCTATAACATTCTATAAGATGTGATTCAGCTGTCCTTTTTGGAGAAGTTTTATGAATGCTTCAAAATGACAGGATAATCTCGTGCAAGCTAAAATATTTTAATTCAAACAAATACTTAACTTTTTTTTATAATAGGACAAAAAGTCTGTTGAAAGCACTTGTCTCTGTTTTGCACGGCTAGTGGACAACTTCCAGCATGAGGAGGTAGGGATGTAGTTTTTTGGGCATGGATTTTTGTTTCCTGCTTCCCTCCCCGAGTTTCTCCTAAGGGCTTACCTTTTAAAGTCAGACTAACATTTTTAATTTTCTTCTTCCCTCGTGAAGAACTTGCTCCAGCAGGTTGCTTCGAAGGACTTGTTAACAAATATCCAGCAACTCTTGGTAGTGACACCTCCTATCCTGAGCTCAGGAATGTTCATCATGGTGGTGCGCATGTTTTCCTTAATGTGCTCCAATTGTCCTACACTTGCAGTCCAGCTTATGAAGCAAAGTGAGTTCTTGCTCTTTCATACTTTGGGGGACCTATTTAAGTTAATGCCTACAGTCAATATGAACTCTGCACTTGATTATTCATGTTCTCTTTTTTAGCTTTCTTACTAATGCTTCCCCTGGTATACAAAGTTTAGTTAATCTTGTTGAAAGCTCTTTTTTCCTGAGGGGTTTTTCTCCCCTTCCCTGTTGCTAGCTGCTGTCACTGGAGTACTCACCTACTTTTGAGTCTGTATTAGCTGCACAAATTACTCTCATTTCAACACAAGTTGAATAATTCTTTTCATCGTCTTTACCAGGTGGGGGAAATGTGATTTAAGGGTTTTTGCTAAGGGAAAACTTTAAGAGAAGTAACCACTGTGTAGCTGTGTTAGTTCTCAGTTGCTTTCTTCTTTTAATCTTGTAAATTCTGACTTGTCACTTCAACTGCCCTGTATGTTCCCATTTTCTTCTGTGCCCTGTATATTGAGTGATATTTCGCCCCTAGATGTTGCTTAAAGGAAAAAAGCCAAAAAACCCAAACAACAAAAAAAAACTCCCACCAAACAAAAACCCACAAACCCCAGCCCAGAGAACAAACACATTTCCTAGTGTTTGTAGAGGTGGCTTTTGTCTTACTGTCTACTGTCTGTTTGCTTAGAGTAGTGACTGCCTCTTCTGTGTAGTGTCTAACACAAAATGGAGTCCGTATTCTGATGTAGGCAATATCATAAATAATTTTATAGATATTGCAGAAACTCTTCACTTCCTCCTTTGTGGAGCCTCAAATGGGAGTTGTCAAGAACAAATTGACCTTGTTCCACGAAGTCCTCAAGAACTTTATGAGCTTACTTCCCTTATCTGGTAAGTTATGCAGACCTAGGTTTTGGGTCTGGTTGGTATGTTAAAATCCTCAACTTCTCTAAAATGAAAGCAAACAGTTTTCAGCTTAGATGGACTTTATTGTATACTTCTAGTAAACTACTGTTTTAATGTTCTTTACAGTGAACTGATGCCTTGCCTGCCGAAAGAGGGGATCTTCGCTGTTGATACTATGCTAAAAAAAGGAAATGCGCAAAATACAGATGGTGCAATATGGCAATGGCGAGATGACAGGGGTCTCTGGCATCCCTATAACAGGATTGATAGTCGAATAATAGAGGTAAGAATTACACACACTTGTGTAGTGATGTTTTATAAATATGCGTGTGGTTATATAGGGAATTGAGTGTTTTCTTCAAGGTTTTTGGAAGTATCAGCCTTGTTATTTCTGAGTAAGAAATACATAAGTTTCCTGAAACCTCCTGCTGTAATATTGCACTATTTTGTTATTCAGTAATGGACGAACTGCTCAATCACTGTTCTTAGGTTATTTCTGCCAAGCATTGTTTTTCCTACTGTTTTGCTCCTCTCATCACCTTTCATATAGCTTCCTATTTGTTAGGGGTTTCTTAATTTTAAACTCTTCCTTGTTTTTAGGCAGCTCATCAGGTTGGTGAGGATGAGATAAGCCTGTCTACACTTGGGCGTGTCTATACTATTGATTTTAACTCTATGCAGCAAATAAATGAGGATACTGGAACAGCACGTGCCATTCAGCGAAAACCAAACCCTTTAGCCAATACAAACACTAGTAAGTACAGTTTAGGAGACACCTGGTGTCTCTAGCTATGGCTAGCTTACGCTGGGTTATACAACAGGCTGCTACTTTGCAAATACATTTCTTGTGGTTTCTGTGGAACATCAAACTATTTGGATTTACATGAATGAAGACAACTTTACAAGATAAACTATTGAAAGGTGTCATTTTTAACATGTAAACTCTTTTCCTGACAGCTGAACATTCATTAAATTGGGGGGGAGCTGGAGGTGTTCGAGGCTTGGAATTTTTCTGAAACAGTTTTGTTCATACAGCTCTGCTATTTAATGAGAACTCTGTGAGGACTTCGTACTATAGTACAGAAATACATAAGAAAATTGAAGAAAAAAGGTTAGAGTCCTTGAAAGAGGATTTGTACATACACACTTGCTATCAGTTTGTCTTCTGGTTCTTAAACTACATCTTTTCAGTTCAAAAGCTTTAGAAACAAAGTAATCATCAGAGCACAGATGCAAAGTACTATGTGGTGATTTGTTGCACAATTTCTCACAGGTGGACATTCAGAATTGAAGAAGGATGATGCTCGAGCACAACTAATGAAAGAGGACCCGGAACTGGCAAAATCCTTCATCAAAACATTGTTTGGTGTTCTTTATGAAGTATATAGTTCCTCAGCTGGACCTGCTGTCAGACACAAGTGCCTTAGAGCAATTCTTAGGATAATTTATTTTGCGGATGCTGAACTTCTGAAGGATGTGTTGAAAAACCATGCTGTTTCAAGGTGGGTTTGTTAAGCATTGTGAATGAAGTGTAATTTTGAGCTTACAAGTCAAACTTGTGATTAGTTTTTTTTTAAATCATCTTTTTCAGGGGAAGACTGCTTTTAAATTTTTCTGTATTTATTTTCCAAAAGCTGAGGCTGCCAGCTCTTCGGGAATTTTTAGTATCTTACATTTTGCCGTAGGCGCCAACTCTAGGCGTTCTTATTAGAAACTTCGATTACCTGTATGGCTGTGTGTATTAGTAAGGTCTAGTATTAACTGTTTACTGTTTCCCTGATTTCTAAAACTTGCCCATAAACTTTTCTGAGGGCAAGATGACTTTTAAGGTAATACAGCGTGAACAATAACAAACTCATGGTATTCAACTGGTAAGTTCTATTCATGAAACCTCTCCTACATGATATAGCATACAGTTAGGGATTTAGATTAAAGGATACAATTAGAAAATAAACTGACTAGTTTTTCAAAGGCAGTACAAAGTTCCACAATACCATGTTCTTTAAAGGAAGGCGACTCTTTTTTCCTTTATGCCACATGTTAAAGCTTGGCTAAAGTGATTTAGGTGGGAAGAGGACTTTTCATGTCCTTTTATTTATAGCTTTTACAAAAGCACAATGAAATTTGTTTACTTTCAGTTTCCAGCACTCTATATGCAAGATGAATTGACTTGATTTTTTTTTAACTGCCAAAAAAGAAAAGACAAACCTAATTCTAATGAATTATCTGTTTTAGTCATATTGCCTCCATGCTGTCGAGTCAAGACCTTAAGATAGTAGTTGGAGCCCTGCAGATGGCAGAGATTTTAATGCAAAAGTTACCTGACATTTTTAGTGTTTACTTCAGAAGAGAAGGTAAATCTTGCTTTTTTTTTTTTCTCCCTTCACCTCCTTATTTAATATTTTAAAAGCATATGTGTGTGGAGAATCCCTATCCTTTAGTCCCCACTCCATCCCCCCAAGCTGTAAGAAGTTAATACTGTTCTTGAACAATAAAGGCAAATCCATGCAAGCTATTGTCATATGACTGGGGAGGAGCTGACCAAGACTCTGGAGGCAGCAAGCTTTTTCTTTCTGAATCTGAAACAAGTTTGTACAGGCTTACTAGATGCTGGTGAACTTATATTTAGACTGAAGATGGCTTACTGAAATTACATGGGTAGTCTTACTGGGCAAAACCGATGATCTTTGGCAGGACCTCTTTGTTATACTGGGGATTTTGGGCTGCCTTCAGCTACTGTTCATGCTGCTGTCATTTTGTTTGTTTGTTTTCAACTATGGAGGTGAAGTTTTTCAAGAAAGGGTTGAATTGCTTTTGAAACTTAGTATTTTTGGGTGAGGTAAGCCAGTGCTGCCATAGTCAAAACAGAGGTTCTAATAACAGATTTCTACCTTTTCAAACACCTCTGCCAAACCTTCATTCCCCCACAATCAAACCAATTCACCAAACAGAGATTTATTCTTTTGCAAAGGGGTGATGCACCAAGTGAAAAACTTAGCAGAGTCTGAGGCTTTGCTAACAAGCCCACCGAAAGTATGCACTAATGGATCAGGAACACTGGGTACCACTACAACGATAAGTACTGGAACAGCCACTGCTGCCAGTAATGCAGCTGCTGATTTGGGCTCTCCCAGCTTACAACACAGCCGGGAGGATTCTTTGGATCTGAGCCCACAGGGGTGAGTGCCCTGTTTGTTGTGAACAAACAATCTGGGGAGGGGGGTTGTTGGGGGGGCAGGGGGGAGGATGTTTTTGTACAAGTCTTGACTGATACAGGCTGTTACAGTATCATCTGCATTTTGCTGTGATATTTTCTTCTAAGGAACTAAAATGGAGTGGTGTTGAAGCTATCAGTGGGTAGTTTTGATTCATTCTATGTGAAATGTTTAAAAAAAAAAAGACTAGTGACCTGATAGCTACAGTGTAATGATATGAAACAATACGAGCTCTTTGAGGAGAGGCTGAAGAATGCCAAGTGCAACAGCTGTAGTCTCATGTCACTCTTGAGGACAGAGTGATTCTTTCAGAGAAATGATAGCTGTGGTGCATGGTTCCTTTCTGCTGGAGACTGGAGGAAAAAGAAGTCATCCTGAAGTTATTTTTTTGGAATGCAACCATTTTGAACACTTGTAGAATTAATTAGAATTAATATCTCTTGTAGGAATGAATTATTTTAGTGTTACACAGTTTACCTTTATTTTAAAGGTGAAATGTTTGTCTTAATGTAGTGGCATAATAAGGAAACTCACCTTAAACCAGAACTGAAATATATGAACTTGGGAAGTGTAGGGCTTGGTGAGCAGAAACTCCATAAATTGTTGAAAAAGTGCTTTCTAGGCTTTAATAGGAGAGGCAGGTGAAATACCTGGTGTCTTTCGGTGTTTATTCAGTAGACGTTTGTGGATTTTTTTTCTTGCTTTTGAAGTGTATTAGAATAAATGAATAACCAGATGGTTACACAAATAAAACCATGAAAATTATGAGAAACCTTTATTCAGTGGCACTTCTGGCTGTATTTGGCTGCCCATAGTAGAAAGATGGCAGCAAGCAAAACCACTGCCTTCTGGTTGAAGTAGTCACTTTGTCCTTCCAATTAAATTAGAGTTGAGGCCCCTTTTCCCAGAGCTCGTTCTTCCCTTGTGTCCTCCTTGTTATGAGGTGGAGCCTATTTTTTTTTAATTGTTGAGGAAATAGCTGACAGATACCCATGGCAGATGGAAACATGTTACTTTATTTTTAAATTTGAACAGACGACTGAGCGATGTTCTAAAGAGAAAAAGACTGCCAAAACGAGGGCCAAGGAGACCAAAATACTCTCCTCCAAGAGATGATGACAAAGTAGACAATCAAGGTAAATCATTCTTAAGATGTGATACTTCATCTCCTTTTAAATTTAAAAGTAAGCTTATAGGCTGTCAAAAGTGCTAGCTGTAATAAACCTGCCGGTTCTCTTAATTTTGTCTCTTGCTTCCTTCAGCTAAAAGCCCTACAACTACTCAATCTCCTAAATCTTCCTTCTTGGCAAGTTTAAATCCTAAAACATGGGGAAGATTAAGCACACAGTCCAACAGTAATAATATTGAACCAACACGAACAGCAGGAGTAAGTGGTCTTGCAAGGGCTGCTTCCAAGGATACCATTTCCAATAACAGGTACCCACAAAAAAAAAAATTCAAAATACTTCTAATATGGTATTGACTTTGAGGGGCAGCTACTTTCTTATGATAAGCTATCAGATAATTAAGTAGCACCTATCAAAGAAGTGTGAGCTTAACACCTGTTAAAATAACTCTGGAAGAAGAATCAAGAAATTTAAGGTAGAGAAAATAAGCTCTTAATAGTTTAAAGTAGCATGATGGGGGAAAAACTGGGGAATTGGAAAGAATGGTGTAAGAAGTAACCTGTAGAGAATAGACCTTTACTGTGTTGGGGTAAGAGGGAAGGGTTTTTGTCTGTGACTGCTGTTAAACATGGGGAAAATGATACTGTGGCTGTTTGCTTGTAACATTGGAGTGTGCAATGCAAAGTGTGGCCGAATGCCTTTTGTGTGCTTCTTTACAGAGAAAAAATTAAGGGCTGGATTAAGGAGCAAGCTCATAAATTTGTAGAACGTTACTTTAGTTCTGAAAACATGGATGGAAGTAATCCTGCACTAAATGTATTACAGAGACTTTGCACTGCAACTGAACAACTCAACCTCCAGGTTAGAAATGGCAAACTTACTTGGAGTAGGGGTGGGAATGGAAGCCGTAGAAGTATTTGGGAGGAAGCTAGAGGAAAGCTGTCCATTTTAGACAGTATGGGCATTATTTAAGCGTAGTTTTTGTTATCTTAATTGATGATACAGTGTTTCTTAACTTGCAGTGGTTTGCTGAAGACTTTTTTAGAATAGGTATATAAGCTCTGGCATGTACCATTTATGATAAAAGCCTAGTATTAATAAGGACATTTTTTGTTCCTAGCAATGTGTCACTTACGTAGTATTTTATTTTAGGTTTTAAAATTCTGCAATTAAGTTGGGGATTGACTTCATACCTATGGAAGAACACAGTTTGCAATAAGAACTTTGGGGTGTGGGGGGAGGACAATAGGGCAGTAGCATTTAGTTGAAAGAACAGAAGAAATACAGATTGGGCTGAATGTACTGGCATGTCAAGAACTCAAGCCTTGCTTCTCAGGCAGTTGTGGTCCTTGATAGATGGTCTAAACCAGTAACTACTAAAGTAGGTAAACGACTGTGTTCTGTGCTTTGATCTAAGCAAGCATTAAAATGTGAAACTTTTTCCTCCTCCTCTCTCCCACACAGAGAACATGTGAAATATGTACCAACCTGAATTGTTTTTCTGTTGTGTGGTGAGACGAACACAACCCTTGTGTTTGGAGCTTATCTTTACATTGTATGAGACAGAAGTGGGACCTTGCGTTTCTCTTAAAACAAGGAAAATGTGGACGTTGCCTGTAATGTCTCCTCTTGAATATAGAAATTGCTTATCCTCAGATTATTTGCCCTGTCATTGCTTGTGTTGAGTTACTGTACACTCAAGACTTTACCTGTTTCACCTTCCTTTAGAGCTGTTCTGTGCAGCAGGAGGAAAAATAGTATTTCTTAAGCCCTTAATACCTGGGTAGTAAAATACTATCTTCGTATTTTTCAGGTGGATGGTGGAACAGAGTGCCTTGTAGAAATCCGTAGCATTGTCTCGGAGTCTGACGTGTCCTCATTTGAAATCCAGCATAGTGGGTTTGTTAAACAACTGCTGCTTTATTTGACATCTAAAAGTGAGAAAGATGCTGTAAGCAGGGATATCAGATTGAAAAGATTTCTTCATGTATTTTTTTCTTCTCCAGTAAGTTTATTGTTTTGTCATTCTTAGTAGTCTTTATCTCAAATTGTACTTATCTTACCATCTGAGAGGTTCAGCAATGACCTTGACTTGAAGGAACGTTTTGTTTATACCTAAGCTGTATTAACACTACAACTTTCACGTGGTTCTAAGTTATAAACTTCTTAGAATACCCTGTAATTACAGAAAATTGCGCATATGACTGGGGAAAAAAATTTTGAAAGTTGCCTGTTGACTGAGTCTTGAACAACTTAAGTTGCTGCTGACTTTTAAGTTGATATGGAAAGACTATGGATAGTAATTTATTCACTTGTTCTCTTTAGTCCTAAATACTTCAAGAAACTAGATTGTCCTATCTGAAGTGGAAGAGAGGAAAGTAGGTAACTACAGCTTCCATAAAGCTTACTGCTTGTGGTTAAGGCTGAATGCTGAAAATCTGTAGGGCCTATTCAGTTGAAGTCAGGAGAGAAAAGTGTGTTCTTTGAAACAGGTCTTTCATAAACTTTTTGTGTCAGGTAGTCATCCACATACTGCTGCTACTTGAAGTGAGAGCAGTGATTCCTAATTTCCTGTCTGTATCTTTTCTGTTCTCCTCCCCCCTTTTTTTTTAAACAATTTGTGGTATAAATTGTTTAAGATGGATTAAATCAAGCACATAACTAAAAGGCTGGAATGTATTTCAGCTTCCTGGAGAAGAACCCCTTGGAAGATTAGAGCCATTAGAAAATGCACCTTTGTTGGCGTTGGTCCATAAAATGAACAATTGCCTCAGTCAGATGGAACAGTTTCCTGTCAAAGTGCATGACTTCCCTAGTGGAAATGGAACAGGGAGCAGGTAAGAATTAATGCTCAGGTAACAGTTTTGTTGGAAGCTTTTTTTTTTTCCAAAACTTGTTTCAAAGCTAGAAGTTCCAAGACATAATGGAAACTTCTGACCCTATTAAAGACAAAAGCAAAGACACAGTTGGCTTTTTTGTTCAGGGGAAGACTGAATATTTAACCAAATGTTTTCTTACCATCTTGAAACTTCTGTCACTTAGATTGCGGGTGTATGTGTAATTTTAAATGTAATCTCTAAGCTTTAAAAATTCATGTCTTCCTCGTCCCCATGTAACACTGGGAAGAAATAATCTGTTTATTGCTGAGACACTGATATTTTTTTAGTGAAGTAATTAAACTACTGAGAGTTTATATTACACCAGTAAACTTTGTTATTCAGCTAGGTTCTGTTCTCTAGGATGAGAGTGGATTAAATAGTAACTGTTGGCTGTCAGCATAGTTTAAACTAACTGTAGATCCGCCCTGTGTCTTGAGGTGACATTTGGAATCCAACTTATTTGTGTTTTAAGTAAGGCATTAAAGTAACAAATCTGAGTGACTGAAGATCTGTTCCTACAATTTATTTTCTGTTGTGTTCTTTAACAAATCAACACTGTTTTTCATTCAGTGTATAGTAGTTAAGAAGTATTTCAGTAAGCTGCATGTAAGTTTTGAAAGTATTTTGTGGTGTTGGCTAAAAGCTCAATTTGGTTATGTATTCTTGTGACTATATAGAAATTAGGAGGGGAAGAGCTTTGAAAATTGTTTTTTGAAAACTGTTCTTGAAAGTCTGAAATGCCAGAATTTCTCTCGCAGGTAGTAAGGTAGTGTGGATCATCTTGTCACTAATTGTGACACAACATCCATTATAGTAGATATGTTAGAGCCTCACACTATAGCATTAATCTAACTTACGTTAAAATTCAATACTTGTTTTTTGTGTAACTGTTAAAATCCATGGGAATGAATGCAATACACAGATTTCTAATACTTGAAGGAATTAATTGTCTTGATACTGGCTTTTGCAAATAGTGTGTGCTCTGTAGTCTTACAATGCTTCCTAATATGCACCATTCCTGTAAAAAGTGGGATAACTACAAAAGTTACGAAGCTGCTTATCATAGAAGCGAAATTCTGCGATTCTTTTTGAATGGAAGTTAAACATGGGAATTCAGACTACTGTGACATTGGCTGCTAGTCTTACTGTGGATTACATCAATGAGGATTTTGAGGCATGAAGATTTGGTAGTCTTTCACTAGCACCTGGAAATAGAAGCAGCCCAAGATAAGATGTTTGCATATAGAAACAGCTAGCTTGGGTATTGATAGTTAGGTGAGATCGAACATGTATACAAACTACATACACTTGGCAAGAAAAAGCAGAAAGGTTTTCAGGCTGTGTCTTTAGGTCCTTTTAAAAAAATGTATGAATGGATACTTGTGTTTTCTGCCCCCGATTCTGATCCTTATTGCACTGAAAGTAAACGTTGCTCTAAATCTCACATGGCATCAGGTGACCACCGAACAACTTCAGACCTCGGAGATGGTCAGTGGAGGCCATATTGTAATCAGACCTGGACTTTCTCGTAATTCATGTAGTTTCCATTGGAAATCAGATTTGGCTTCTGGTGTTCTTGTAGAATAAAATTTTTAATCTGATTTTTCATATGTTAATAGCTTATTTTTAGAGAAATAGGCTGAGAAATAATGCTCTGAACAAGTGAATTAATAAATGCATGTATGAGCCTATTTTAATGCATTTTTAATGCAATTATGGTTATTAGATTCTTTGTGTAGCAACTTTTTTCACAAATTATTTTGAGTTTTTCTCTTAACAGAGGATCCCAAGCTTTAAAATTCTTCAATACACATCAACTAAAATGCCAGCTGCAAAGGCATCCAGACTGTGCTAATGTGAAACAGTGGAAAGGTGGACCTGTGAAGATTGATCCTTTGGCTTTGGTACAAGCCATTGAAAGATACCTTGTAGTTAGAGGTATATGTGTGTGTATGTATGTATGTATTATGTAGTCACATATGTTTTGTTTCTTGGCATAGTCGCTACTGTCAAGTAGTGCAGAGTCTGTTTAAAAAAAAACCACCACCACAACCTGTGAGGATTGTAGTGAAGACAAATGGGAGGGTACCCATAAATATATCTTGCTCTTAGGGGAGAAGGCTAAGGCTTCAGAGAATCTTCTATTTTTCTGGGACAGGCTTTTTCCTGTTACAAACAGTTCCGTCTAAATACTATAATATATAAAGTATAATTTAGTTGACTGTCAGATTGGCTGTAACTTTGCATTTTTGATGTCAGGTGTTGATACTGAAATTTGTTCCAACACATCTGAACCTTACTTTTTTAACTGACATATTTTGGAACTGCCTTAAACAGTGGAGTTTCTGAAAGTCAGGGTACAAAAGTGTTGCTACATTTCATTTAAAAACAAATGAGGATGTCTTTCTCCTCTCTTTCCTCAGGCTATGGAAGAGTTAGAGAAGATGACGAGGATAGTGATGATGATGGGTCAGATGAAGAAATAGACGAATCTTTGGTAAGCTTTTGCTCTGGGCGTGCGAGGAGGGGGAGAGGCTTAAAGAAAAGCTAGCAACAAGTTTCTTGTGTTGTTTTTTTGTTTTTGTTCAGGCTGCTCAATTCTTAAATTCAGGGAATGTGAGACACAGACTGCAATTTTACATTGGCGATCACTTGCTGCCATACAATATGACTGTGTATCAGGCAGTTAGACAGTACAGTTTGCAAGCTGAGGAGGAGAGGGAGTCTACAGATGATGAAAGCAACCCATTAGGAAGAGCTGGGATTTGGACAAAAACACATACCATTTGGTAAGTTGGCTAGACAAATCAGGGGACAACTTCTCCAGTTTCGTAGGTGTATATACATAAAGAAAATTGGAATATAGCTGTCGTATCCTGTCCTGTGTCCCCGTCACCCCCACCAAACTGTGAAGCTTTGAATTTCCCGATGTGCTTGAAGTACTCAAATCTTAGTAAGAATTGAGTGTTAGCTACTGATGTTCTTTCTAGTTCTGAGCGAAGCTAATCAACAAGAAATGGGGAATCTTAAATGACGCCTTCTAGATGGAGGAAACTAATTCTTGGTGTTAATAACTAATCACAAACAATAGAGAAAGTGCATGTAGTCTACCAATAATGGTAATGGTCTGCAAGGAACAGAACTGACCTCTGACTGCCAAACATTTTAACATTCAGCAGTGTCTTTTTTCTAATATTTAAATGTGTTATGCAAAAGCACGTAAAAAAAAAACAACACTTTTTTTTGTCGGTACCTTCTGCTTCTCCTCTTCTAGTTCATGGAGCCAGAGGGTCCCAATTTTTTTGTCTCCCCCATGACATTCTGTGCCTCTGAGGGCCTAGTTTTAAGGGTTGGATCATATCCAAATGCATTGTTCTTGTCTTTCTGAAGTAAAATTATGGTAATCAAAGAACTAACACTTTTATAACTGCCCTTGTTTCTATGTAAGTTAGTATTTCACAAACATGTTTTTAACTTTTAATTACTTTTTAGGTACAAACCCGTACGAGAGGATGAAGAAGGTAGTAAGGACTGTGTTGGTGGTAAAAGAGGAAGAGCACAAACAGCTCCCACAAAAACCTCCCCTAGAAATTCTAAGAAGCATGACGAATTATGGCATGGTGAGTGTGTTGCCTTGCTAATATATTAGACTTGCGGAATTTCTGAAAGGGTGGGGAAGAAGAGTATTTAGAGACACCACGGTGTTTCTTTTAAAGCCAACATAGTGTAAGAAAAGTAAACATGTATTAATGTGTGTATTAAAACTAAAAATAAGATACTTACTGAATTGTTCAGCTAAACTGTTGTAGTGAAGTGAATTCTGGGACTAACACTATGGAGGCTCCTATTAATTAAGTCTTGGGAAGACTTCCAATTGATCTAAGTTGATAACATTCTTCTTTCCTGCTAGATGGTGTATGCCCTTCGGTCTTAAATCCTCTAGAAGTTTACCTCATATCTACTCCACCTGAAAACATAACATTTGAAGATCCCTCATTAGATGTTATTCTTCTTTTGAGAGTTTTACATGCTATCAGTCGATACTGGTATTACTTGTATGATGTGAGTAGAGCATTTTTTAAATTTAAATCATTTTTGTGCTTGAAGCAGACAACTCTGTCCTGAAACACCTTAAAATAGGTCCCTCACCAAGACCGAGTAATGCAAATGCTATCAGCTTCCCCTATTGATATTTCTAACTTCTGGTGAGATGAAGGCTATAAATTCTTATAGTCAATCATATTTCTTTTATAGTGTTAAACACATTTTCCATGCTATTTCCTTCCTTAAGTTCAAAGAGTAACATTGTTCCTGAAAAGAAAATGAATAGTAAAAATTTAGTCAGTCTTTCTTTTGTGGCTTAGAGTCTGTATGACCAAAGTGACAATGAAAGTTTGTTTGGTTTTTTTTTTCCTTATGAGGATAAGAAAATTAAAAGCATTAAAAAAAGACCCTTAACAAAGGCTTGGTATTTCTTTAACTAGAAGTACATTGTTTTTATTTAACACAGAATGCAATCTGCAAGGAGATAATTCCAACCTCAGAGTTCATCAACAGTAAACTGACAGCAAAAGCAAACAGGCAGCTTCAGGATCCTTTGGTAATTATGACAGGAAACATACCAACTTGGCTGACAGAACTTGGAAAAACATGGTATGAATACTTAATGTATAGTATTGTCAGTCTGAGTTCAGGAGGCCTTGGGGCTGGGCAGCGCAGGTGCATGTTACAAAGGCTTTTGAAAGTGCTGGGGGAGAGTAAAATGTAGTCACAGAAGTCTTGCGAAGTTACATAGTGACACTTGGATGAATGTTCGCACCTATACTGCATAGTTCAAACCAAATATGGAGGGATAGACTAGCTGCAAAGTTTGGGCCACTTCTTACAGGCTTTTCTGAGCAATTTGAAGTTTTCTTATTGAAATAATACTACTTGATTATTGAGGTCATTTTTTCTCCTGTTAAACTGCCTAATGGCATTTTTGTCATACCACTACATGTATCTTAGTATATTCAATATGGTATGCAGGAAAATATTTTTGTAATTGTAAGATATTATAAATAACTTTTATAAAGCTCTGTTTATAGTACTTTGTAGTATCTTGATACAGAGTATAAGCTGTAAAACTCTTGCACTTGAAAGAATGAGAAATCAGAGTTTGCATTCTTGGGTTTTTGAAACATGTTAATCGAAGCAACATTCGTGAAAATGAATGGAAATACATACTTGAGAAACAATTTTTTTTTTCCATTTTGAAAATAAGATCTCTAAATTTCTTCATAAACATTCCAGATAACAAATGATGAGTATGAATATATATTCTTACACAAACACCTGTAGCAGTATTTGTTCTGTAAAACTCCCTTTTTACTTAAGTCAGGGGAGGACTACACTGTTAACATACGCATGCCTTCAAGAATAGTAAAACTGGTAAATGAAAACAAGTTTCTCTGGTAGTCTTTCACAGGTTATTTAAAGTTTTTTTTTGTTTGTTTGTTTTTTTTTTAAATTGTGGAAGGTAGAATGCTGGTGCTACTGTGGACAGGTTCTCATATTTTTTTCCCCTCCAAATTTGGGAGCTTGAGCCACCTTCTTAAAATCTCTAAGTTAGATTTACTAGTTGTAGAACGGGTGTGAACAAGTAAAAGAATATTTGTTTTCTGATACAAACTTTGCATAACAAAGGCATTCAAGTATTTGGAGTTATTTTTCTGGAAGAGTTAATAGTTTCTGGAATTTTTTGTGATTCCTTCTTGTATTAAATTCCATTTCTAGACTCTTGCTCATAAGCATTGTAACTAAAACTAAAGTGTGTTCTGGAAGGCTTCCTTTGGAGGCTTCTTTTGCCACAGTGTTTAATAAAGCACTAATTTTCAGGCATACTACATTTCTGTTGTGTTTTAAACTAAACTATAATCATAGATGCTAGCTGGAACTCAACTAACTAATACAATGCTCTTTACAGCCCATTTTTCTTTCCATTTGATACTCGTCAAATGCTGTTTTATGTAACTGCTTTTGATCGTGATCGAGCCATGCAAAGACTACTGGATACTAATCCAGAAATCAATCAATCGGATTCTCAGGATAGCAGAGTGGCACCGCGACTGGACAGGAAAAAAGTAGGTATATCTTGTTTAAAAATGCCGTTGAAAGATCTGTTTGTTTTTATTATCTGTAAGAATATCTTTGTGAGCAAGACTGACTTGTAAAACATCAGGTTTTGGTAGTACACGGGTGAAGGGGAGGTTTTTCTGCTCATTTGACAGCCCCCCAGGTAGGAAGCAGGGTGTCCCCTGGGTGCATGCCACTAGGTGGCAGGAGGGGCCAGGGGATGCTCCCCGCTCCCCTGCAGCCCGCCTGGCGCCCAGTCGAGCTTTTACGTAGCTTCTGGAACCGTACGCAGAGAACAAACCTGAAGTTTTAGGTTATATTAGTGATGGTTCCATATATTAGATTGTAAACCTCTGTTTTGCTTTATGTAGAATTTCAGAATAATTCAAGTGATAGGATTTAGACCCTGAAGCATTACCTGAGTAAACGGAAACATTGTCCTTGTGTTCTGGGAGAGTTTTAAACCTCCTCTCACAATATAATAAAACTAAGCTGTGACTGTTCTAAATTGAGGGAGTCTTGGGTGTTTGCCTTCAGTCTGGAGAGGTGTTATCTTAAACTAAGATCTGCTGTGTATGATCTTGAATACCTCTGCGGGAAAAAGACAAAAGATGGGAATCTAGTTCAACTAGAATATAGCTTCTGACACATAGGAATCCCGGTGCTGTTTTGTGGGGTTTTGTTTGGGGGGTGGTGGTGTTTGGTTTGTTTTGCTTTTTTGAAACCTGCCACTTTCCCTATGAGAGAATCCGCAAGGGTGGGGTGTAAGAATATTGCTTTAGCTTGCTGGGTTTTCGGCATCTTTATTCTGTGTATTCTTCTGCCCATGTTAGTTTGAGGTATGTAACATCATGTGACAACACTGCTCTGCTATGTTGTAGTCTTACTGCCAGACAGGAGTAGTACCTGTTAGTTATACTGATACAAATGTTAAGGCAGTGTTTTTTCATTTTGTAGTGAACACTTTAATTCTAGTCAGTTTTCATATAGAAGCAAGAATTACTTTATCAAAGCATAAGCTTACAAATTGTTGGACTGTGGAACTATTAGCGTGGGGTGGAAGAACTCGCATAACTTTTTTTTCCTGTTGTAACTGCCTTGGGAACTGGGACTTACAGACGTAATTTCACTGCTTAAAACTTCTCTAATGTGTAGCGCACTGTGAACAGAGATGAGCTGTTGAAACAGGCAGAATCTGTGATGCAGGATCTAGGCAGTTCAAGAGCCATGTTGGAAATCCAGTATGAGAATGAAGTAAGTAATACCAATGCAGTCTAATTTAACCACTTTTTACTGAAGATTAATACAAAAAAGCTACAAATTTCATAGAATGACTTGGTCAGACTCTTGGTCCTTACCATTGCTGGTGCCGCAAAATTTTAACTATTAATTGTCCCTAATCCACTTGGTTGTGATTTTTAGTTGCTAGGAGAAACTCTGGTCTACTAAATTTCGTAATCGGTCGTATTCTGCAGAGCACTTTTTTTTTTCCTAACTCTAAGAAAACAGCTGTGTTTCTTCTATAATACGGTCATTAAGTGGTTAATACTTTTATTCCACTATTATTCTATCTGATATGTGGTGTTTCCAAGCTGTCTCAGTCATATTGTAAATGTTGATGTAGTTAGATTCTCTAGATGCTTTTTGCAGTGCAGTCTTTTTTTGTAGCCAATAATACTATTTCTCAGACTAAATAAAGATTCTGATATTCAAACTGACCTAATGGACTCATTTATTTACTTATCTCATTTCCCCTCCTCTCCCCACACCTTCCCTGCCCTGAAGGTTGGCACAGGCCTAGGCCCCACGCTAGAGTTCTATGCACTTGTATCTCAGGAACTACAGAGAGCAGACTTAGGCCTTTGGAGGGGAGAAGAAGTGACTTTAGCCAATCCAAAAGGTAAATATTCTACTACCTAAACAATCAATACTGATCTAATATTGATTCTAGGTTGACTTTAATTACATGAATGGCTTTGATTGAAAGAGCACATCAGTTTGTGGTCAGATAATATGCCTCATGATAGTGTGTGATTAACTCTGTGGGCATTTTCCTGATTTTATAAGAAGCTTTGGGTTCTGGTTATCGGATAGCCACTTTCAAACTTGCATCTGGAATGAAACTACTAGCAGCGTATGTATTGAACTTGTCTTTCTTTCTTCCTTAACAGGAAGCCAGGAAGGTACCAAGTACATTCATAACCTTCAAGGCCTTTTTGCCCTTCCTTTTGGTAGAACAGCCAAGCCAGCTCACATCGCAAAAGTTAAAATGAAGTTCCGCTTTCTGGGAAAACTAATGGCCAAGGCAATCATGGATTTTAGACTGGTGAGAATAAAATAGAAAACTTGATTCTGAAAGGTTAAATGAAAATTGTAGTTTTGACTGATATGGAGGGGGGAAAAAAATAGCATTGAGTTGCATGGAATTATTTTCATCTCTAGCAGTTTGGGGGAGGGCAGATGCAGCTGAGCTTTTGAGGAGGAAAGATAGTGTGTGTTGAGATCGTTACAGTGGCTTTTGAGACCATAGTGAAAAGAGAAAAAGCCATTGCCTGCCATGTGTTGCAATCTCCAGTCTTTTTTCAAGACAATTTTAGTCTTAATTTTTATTCCAGCTGCTAGCTTACTGATTGCTCTAATGTATAGGCACTAGGTAGTCAGTTGTGTTTTTCTTGACTGTAAATTTCTTGAGCAAAACTCCTCAGATAGGGTGTTTTCGTGTGTGCCAGAGCTATGAATTAGTAAATAATATTCTAGATCTAGTCAAGAGATAAGATAGCAAAAGGTATAGTTTTGGGAGACAGTTCAATACTAACCAAAGTTTTGATTTCCAGGTGGACCTTCCTCTTGGACTTCCTTTTTATAAATGGATGTTACGACAGGAAACTTCCTTGACATCGCATGACTTGTTCAGTATTGATCCAGTAGTAGCCAAATCAATATATCACCTGGAAGATATTGTAAGACAAAAGAAAAGACTTGAACAAGACAAAACACAGGTGGGAAAGTAACCCTAAGAATGAAAGAGTGCATCTTCACACGTGTTTGGATTTTATGAAGTAGCTGTAATTGAGAGCTTATGATAGTGCTTAATACTATGCTAATAGCGATAATGACCTCATTCTAATAAAAGGAGTGGTTTTAATACTACTAAATCATGGTCTAGTAATTATAACATGGTCTTTTTGTAATGTAGCTTCTAACATTAGAAATTTTATTATGGGATTCTTCTGTGTTGATGAAACACAGGCTAGAAGTGGTTAAAACTGCCAGGTGTTTCTCTTTTTGGTTCACTTTGAAAAGACTAACCAACTTTTTTAATATAAAAGGGGGAGGGGGGGAATCTATCCTTGGTTTTTGAACATTCAAAAGGCTTGGGTAAAATTTTCAGGTTTTCTTAGGAGTGCCTTTTGTGGGTTTTTCCTCCCCCGCTGAAAGCTGTATACAGAACTGGTGTAAGCAAGGCTCATATGTGAGGATACATGTTCTTTTATAGAAAAAGAGAGTCTTAGTTTTTCAAGGTTATCCATTTTTAGCTAAAAATAGTACTGTTCACTGTTGCAGATTAGTGATAAAAGGTCTTTGGCATGCATGCTCTTTCTAATGTCCAATGTTAATAGATGGTAGGTGGTAATAACCTAATTTATACTCCTAATACATCTGCTTTGTTACTAGTGAAGTTATTGCAAGCTTGTGGGCCTTTTGTTCCTCTTCACCTCACTGTCTCACTCTCTCTCCTTCATCACCGCTTTTAATTTCCCAACAAGAATTTGAAAAACCTGAAACCTGGTGGATGAAAGCTGAAAAATGTCAGTATGCATGCCAAATATGAATGCCGTTATCTATTCTAAGGAAAAAATGTAGCCTGAGAGCCTTAGCATATTACACATCTCCTTCTCTTGCAGTAATATTTTTGAAATAAATCTATGCAGGAAGTTAAAGTAATTCCAAAATTGCGAGGAAAAAAGTGCGCTACTATGATCTTTCAAGTTTATCCATTAAGATAGTTTGTTTGGTTTCTCTTGGTTTACTGTTATGTGTGAAAATATAGAACAAAAGCAAGGACTACTGTAACAGTATTAGTAATAATATTCTTATAGAAATGTTTGCTTAGTCAAAACTGCTTTAGAAACCATAACTTTTGGATAAGTTAATGCGAATGAATTGTTCTAACTGGTTTTCATTTCCAATGTTTTAGACCAAAGAAAGTCTGCAGTATGCATTGGAGGCTTTGACTATGAATGGCTGCTCAGTGGAAGATCTAGGGCTGGACTTCACACTACCTGGGTTTCCTAATATAGAACTGAAAAAAGGGGGAAAAGATACACCAGTCACCATCCACAATTTAGAGGAGTATCTCAGAGTACGTAAAAGCGAAGCTATGATTAAAACTTCCTTTATTTTTCCTCACTGTGCTCCCAAGTAGTGTGTTTCCATATATATATATATATTTCAATTCATTCTCGTGAACTGGGCACAACAATAATTTTCCTACTGATTGTTTCTGTTCTGTACTAGCTTATTACTACAGAAAAACTGTTTGAATCCTAATCAGTGTACCTGACCTGACAATTTTATAGTACAAAAAAGTCTGGTTTGTACATAATGAAGTTGGCAGAAGTATGGTTTTTTTGGATTAAAAAGTGTTGTAATGGATTGGAGTAATTTGAGCTGTGGACTTTCAGAACCTTTTAACACACCCCCACATTTGGGTATGATAATAAATTTGTTTGCAGTAGTGATTTAGCACTCACACTTCAGTGGGCTTTGAGCTGCTATAATACTAGTGATGTTTTTTTGGAGGCAGACTTAAGAAAGCATCAGCTCAGATGTGAATCACACCTCCAAAAACTACAGAAACAAACAAACAAAACCTCAAACCATAAAAAATAGGTAAGGAGCAGAGAACAAAACAGTACTGTAAGATGATAGTACACCTGCATGTGTGGATTTATTCCTATGTGAAAAGGGGCATAAAACCTAGAAAAATAAAAGGCTGCTACTGCTTAACAAAGGTAGGAAACTTCCTGTGTAAGAAAGTGTTAAAGGGAATAGCTTAAAAACAGCCTGGAAGAGAGATCAGGAAAGGAAGGAAGAATGCAATATTATCCCATGAAGTCGTGAGTGGGATGGAGGTAAGAATGATTGATTGCATCATGAAAAAGCCATTATTCCAATTCCTAAACAGTGCATTTTCTGACAGGTTAGTCTGCTGTCAGTTTCACTCTGAGGACTGTTAAGATTTTCAAGCTCTGATAAGAAACATATCTGATGTTTTGGTAGAAATGAATCGGTAAGGGGCATATAAGGTCCTGGATATCAACTGAGAACTTCACCAAGTTACTCCATAATTCGTAGAACTGAATTTTGAGCAGTTGCTGTTCATGTTCCAGATTCAAGCTATTATGCACATATCCAGTTCTCAAATCTTTATTTGTTGAAAGCAAATGCTGCTAGTCAATAAACGCATATAAGATTAAACATATTTGGATATAAAGCTGTTTGCAGGCTTACAGATGGGCAATGCCAACAACCATAGTTTGTTAGAAACAGCATTTGCAGTCTCTTACTTACTGAGGAAAGTTGGGCAGGGTTGCTTTCAAGTCTGATTTTCGTACTGTTTGCAGATAGGTGTGTGGTGTGTTTTTTTTTTTTCTTCTAGGTAACATGTATCAGACATCTGATATGCTGAGGAAGGCTTGCAAATTTCACAGATGTCCTGTAGTTGTCATATTGCAGGCCTCTGACATTGTAAAGGAAAAGCAGATCACTACAGAAAACTTGCTTTCTGCTTCTTTGTATACAACGTTTTGGACTATTTTCTTTAAAGGACACCTGTGCAGTTTTTCTATCCTTGTCTTTATATTCCTGCATTATAGAGGAGATTTTAAACTAGATCCCAGTGATTAGCTTTACAGACTTGATGTCAAGGAAATGAGAAAGACTTCAGAAAGAAAATTAGTGTCCTCTGTATCATAAGTACGATGAATTGTGATTTAGGAACAGTATATCTAAATATCAGCTAGCCTGTACAGCTCCCTGTGGGTTAGCTGCCCTGCTCTTGAAAATGTCATTTTCATTAAGATCTTGTATGTGGATTACCATTAAAAGTAGTTTATAAAGCTACGATACTGTACTGTTACTCTTTTTGCCTCCTACAGTCATGTCATTCTACCTTCCACCTCCTCTTCCTCCTCCCCCCCCCCACTGCTCC